ATAGGGGGTGAGAGTGTGAGAGGAAGAAAGAGAGAAAGTGTGGCGCCGATGGATCGTGTAATTTAATCTTGTACATAGGGTACATTTTGTATATTGTTAAAAGTTTGTGTGATATAAATGGTTATGTATTTACTATTAATGCGGCGAGATGGGGCTTCGCGCGTCCCACGGGCGATCGCGTGCGCGCCCGGGCGCGACAGTCTCGAGAACCAGGACCACTGGATGTAAGAAGCGTTGCGAACCGATCGTTTTCGCATGACGATCGTTTGGTCTTTTTGGTTCCCTGGTTTCCGGCGATCAGCAAGGAGATTCGCGCGGGAGATTCTTCTCGACGACACAAGTGTTTCGGCGTGAATTTTCGATCGATAGATTAATTTTTAATCCTTTTGTTTCTTTCAATTTCCTATTTGTACGATGAAAATGATTGTTTTCTGATTCTTTCCTTTTTTCTTCTATTTTTGTTCGACCACATTCTGTAAACGACAAGTCCTAAAGTTCAGGACGCTTCGTCGTCAAGTGCTAATGCTGTAAGTGTCACGATTTATCGTTTACGCGCGAGCGAGATCTATCTTCTTTCCTTTTCTCTCTGTTTTCTTTTCTTCATTCTTCGTGATTATTCGTTTCGGTGGGTGGAACGATGCGGTGCGAGATATCGCGATTGCGTTTGAACGTTTTAGCGAATATGCGTTGAGAACGCTTGCATCCAGTGGTGCTGGAACGTAGAGCAACGTCCTCAGTTGAGCGAACACGCGGCCGGACCAAGCAATGGCCCGTCGCGTTTAGTTAATTTTGTTATTTGGTTTAATCTCGACTTCTTATCCGGGACCCGACATCTGTGAATGGTTTCGCGGCCTCTTGTAAAATACAAAGTACACGGACACATACAAAACACGTTTATTAATTAATAAAATCACAAGTTTTTAGAAAACCACACTCGGATCGTCCTGGCTTTATTTCGATTCCCTTCCTTTTCCCTTCTCGAGTATACTCGCCCGAGAAAATTTATGCAGTTCTACGGTTTGATATTCTTTCATACATTTTTTTATTTGTTTCTATATAATAGGTATACTGTACGTTTTCTGTGAAGTTAAAAAATTCTTTAAAATAACGATTTTCCTTAGTTTGAAACGGTGCAAAGCAAAAAGAAAAGAACAAAAAAGAAAGTAAGAAAGTTGATGATATTGATAAAATTACATTAAAATTAAAAAATAAAGTTCGAGATAATATTAAAATTAAATCGACTACGCTATCGTTGAAGCTTAAAATTATTAAAAAGTGAAAAGTTATCAACCAGTGAACAGTTAAAATATCCTTGAAAAATGAATCCGCGTTTCGTCGGTTTTTCATAGAACTTTTAATCCATCATCAAACTTAAAATATTTAAAATTCTATTTTCAATTATCAATTGATTTACATTTATTCAATTACTATCATAACTATTAAGTAGCCGCCGTATACAGCAGCAACAACGATCCTTGCAATATTTTCTGTAAGAAAGTTTTCGTTTTCATAAAATACAAGATTTCCCAGAGACGACAGATCGATATCGAGGTAAGCAAAAAAAAATTGAATCTCGCAATTGCAGTCCTCGCGGCAAGATTAATGAGCCAGCTTTCCAAACTTTTCGTACTACTCGTCCAAATTTATCGGCCCCGTTTTCGGAGATAGCGGGAAACTTTCCAGCGAGGGTTATTTTGGCGTCGAGACGGTAGCAATTTCTGCTGGATGAAAGTGGCGAGGACGTTTCAAGGTCATAATCTAGTTCCTTTCAAAGGAAATACTTGCATCGTAACTGTTGTAAGCTTTCAAGATATATAGCAGTTCATTCTGGAATGTCACCTCACATGCAAACTTACTTTAGCCCATTTTATATCTCCAAAGTATATATAAAATTGACTTTAAAATGGGCTAATATTTTTCGTACTCCTTGACGCATGTTTTATTATCAATGTAAACATTCCTTCGATAGATGTTCTGTCTCCAAACCTGAAACTGTTAACTCGTTAAATCTACAAATCATGGTTACGGTTTTCATGAAAACTTACACATTCTGCAAACTCGTTGCACATCACTAAATAAAAAAATCACCGAAAGAATTATAGTAAATCAATAAAAAGATATGCAAACGTTAGACTTCGATAAATTCCATATTTTTCATATGTGTTTTGCTAAACCGATTCCAGCATCGCGAAACCGTTAGAATCCTTTACCCAAAAGATCAATATTGTATTAACAAAACGCACTTATCAATTTAAGCTACAAGAAAAAAATCCAATTTTTCAAATGGTCAAACTGGCCCAGCCCTTATCGGGCGCGCCGTTTCACCCTTGCTCGATCGTGGCGTCGATGCTGCGGCCAGCCACGCAGGACGATTTCCGGCCGTCCCGTGAATAAAGTAAACAAGCGTTTATTGAGAGAACCTCAGCCGGGAATGCTTCGCGGCCGGTTAAATGAAAGGCGGCTATCGAATATCGAATTTCACGGCTGGCCGTGGCGATTTTAATAAAAAAGACAAGAAAAACGGCGTCTGCCGCCACTCGTCTTTGTCCGCGGCTGTGAATCCGCGGGATCCGCGTTATTCCAGCCTGTCAGCCGGAGTAACTGATCCCCGGCTGAGGCTCCGCTAATGAGAAACACGCATTAAAACACCATAAGAATGCGCACTTTCGCAGCGAAGCGTTCCTCGAACGACGTTTCGATTTACGGAAACAATACTCACTTTCCCCATTCCTTCGCCGAGTGACAATTTCTGCGTTCAGTCGCCGCCGCACACGTCCATTTTCCCTTTGCCCGCTTTTATCGCTAAAGTCGCGCCGTCTACGCCCGCGACGAACCGTTCGCGGCAATATCATTCACGATGGAAATGATACAAGCCACGAGGAGGGGATGGAAGCCATTTTTGTAACATGAGTACAGCGAAGTTCGAGACGTTTCTGCGATTTCACGTTACGTGTTCGTTATTCGTGGACGCGAGTCTATATTTTAACTGAAATATAACACTGCGGTTTTTGATTGACTTTCGGTCAATTTTGGGGAACTTTGGGTTTTATAATTATTGGGTTTTTGTTCTTTCAAAGTTTTCGTGTTATTATTATTATGTTGATCTTCGGCTTTTACGATGTTTCTTCTTCAATTTGAAGCGAGTATGTCAGAAGAAGCAAATTTTATACATGGATATAGACTTTTTTCTTATCTTTTTGGTTGCGATTTATTATCGACTGAGAAAATCAATGTATTCTTGACCCGGACGTTTAAAGCGTATTATGTAATTACTATTGATAAATGTTGTACATAAGTTACAATAAAACGAATATTCCTGTTTTCATCTTTATTGCAATTCGTTAAGGTGATTTATGAGTACAAGCAGTTTCCTCTTTTACCAACCAGAATATCGTCAGCGAGTAAGAGTTTCGATGATCAAAAATATTGAATTTTGATAAACGAAGAAACAAAGAAATCGTAGGACAAAAGAATATTTAGAATTATTTTAAAATGCATGAAACTGTGTATTAGCTCTTACTATCTATAATCGTTATGCATTAGAATATCATATGAGCTTACAGAAAATATCACATCAAAGTCGAAACTTGTTCATTGATTTGACTAATTTGAGATGTACGCTCGGAAGCGTTCCTTAATTTCAATTTACATCACTTTATTAATATCATACACGCGGCAAACAGATACACGACAATAGTCGTAGGCAATAACCCTTTACCGCGATCGAAATTTTATTGAAACGCGTCTAATAACGCGCAATAAAATTCAACATAGTTGCGATTCCGTCTATTACACGCATCGCTTTGTGCGTGTACGATCCATGGAGCTATTACTGGCATAACTTAAACACACACGGCGTATAAGCGCGGTATACTTGCGCGATCAAATTGTTCTACATGCGGCGTACGGTAATTGGCAGGTAGTGATGCCTGCAAATTGAGTTTCGTCTCCACCTATAAAACTGATTCTAAAAGAAGGAATTAATTTCACGTCGCGGAACAACCAATTCGGCAAATAATTGCGCATAATACGATCGACGGGCTATTAACTAATTATCATATTATGCTTGTAACAATCATCGGTACAGTATTTTCCTATTAAACGCAACATTCATTCCTAACGCATCCAAAACATTAGTTAAACAGAGCAAAAGAGCAAAAGACAGAGATTATCCGAACCTTACAAAACTCAAAGCTCAATAGTTGAAACGAATTCACAAATTTAAAAATCTTCGATTCAAATATTTATACACTTTCTTTCTTTTCCCACCCCTACATTTTTCAATGATTCTACACCTCCAATATTACAAATTTACCTAACCAATCGCTCGAAATCTTCAATTCATCAACAACCAAGAAACCCCCAAAAGCGCACACTCGATGTCCACAAGTATTAAAAAATCGTTCATATGTGGTCCGATCGAGTCGACATCCGATGAATAACCGCCGCAAGGACTCGGGCCCCTAATTAGCGACGAGCCGCGTCGGAAAAAGAGCGCGATCGCCAGGGCCCATCGCTCGATCGGGCTGCAACTATGT